ATCCACTTTATTGATGGTCTATTTCTAGTACAAAATATGGCACCCGTCGTGACTTGAAGTCATGGCCAAACCGTGTTCTTCGCCTTTGAGTCACAAACCAGGACTATACAACCACCACACTCAGGTCAGGTTCACAAGCTATAAATTGCACTCCACTAATCCGTGCTACGTACCATTCCATCAACATTAAATTTCACAAGAAGTCACATCGCTAAATATCTTTAGTGATGTAACATAATGTTAATCTCATTACAACTCTTGGCATACCCGGATTGAAATTAAATCAGTTTCGTTGGATAAATGATTTTAAAAGAAGGATTCGGAATGTTATATTAGCTAAAATCTTAGCAGGACTGTAAAAGTCTAAAAAATATCACTTGAACCTTATATCATGTGAACCTTAGATTTGGAATCGCTCTTAGACCTGAGATTTCTTACACGACAGATTCATCCAACTCGAAACAATCCAAAAATAATGGGTTTCGGGTCAACACATTACAAACCTAAAAAATTTGGAATCACTCTAGATTATTTATTGATTTAAAATATTTTTTTTCTTTAATGAATAACAGGTTGAATCATATTACTGTTAATATTAGCGGGTCTAGTGCGGGTCGAGCCATATTATCCGTTCATTTAAAGGGTATTACACGATACCATCGTTAATATATTTAGTATGTTATGAGAATGATATGGAAAACACGACATTCGGGACCCAAAAGTAATTACATCTGTTAATACATCTATAAATATTAAATAGACTGACACCAAAGGAACCGCTGGTACCAATTAGCAATTTAGGATTACTATGGCTTCCATGTTTACCAAGTATTGTTCTAAAGTTGTCATTACCTTCCTACTGATTCTCCCATTTTTGGTTTCGAGGTCGTTCGCCGGGCGCATTGTGGTTTATTGGGGACAAAATGGAGGGGAGGGCACACTAACAGCAACATGTAACACAGGAAGGTACCGGATTGTAAACATAGCATTCCTCTCACAGTTCGGCAATGGCCAGACCCCTCAAATCAACTTAGCCGGGCACTGTGATCCGGCGTCTAACGGCTGTCAAAAAGTGAGCACCGGCATCAGAAACTGCCAGAACCAAGGCATTAAGGTCTTGCTTTCGATTGGCGGCAGCTTGGGGAGTTACACGCTACCATCTGCAGATGATGCTAGAGGTGTAGCGGACTACATATGGAATAACTTCTTAGGGGGGCAATCAAACTCGAGGCCTCTAGGAGACGCCGTATTGGATGGCGTGGATTTCGATATCGAGAGAGGTGAGATTCAGTACGCTGCACTTGCTAGGAGGCTTTCTGAGTATAGCCGGAGAGGTAGAAAAGTGTACTTAAGTGCAGCACCGCAATGTCCGTTTCCTGACCAGAAACTCAATGGTGCACTAACCACTGGCCTATTTGACTATGTTTGGGTTCAATTCTACAACAATCCACAGTGTGAATTCACCTCTAGCAATCCAGATGCCTTCAAGAACTCATGGAACAAATGGACCTCCTCCATACAAGCTGATCAATTCTTCGTGGGGCTCCCTGCTGCGCAGGCGGCTGCTGGCTCTGGCTATGTGCCTTCAAATGATCTGATAAACCAAGTTTTGCCTTTCGTTAAGAAATCTGCAAAGTATGGAGGTGTCATGTTGTATGATAAGTTCAATGATGACAGAAGTGGCTATAGTTCAAAGATTCAAGGGAGCGTGTGATTAAAGCCCCAACTAAAAAATGGCTTAAAAAGTAAGTAAAATAAATAAGTCGTGCCTTTCCATCAGTTTATCGTTTCCTTTGATAATAAAGTGAATGCTTTATATATATATATATAGACACACACACATATAAATACACACACACACACATACGCTGTTCAAATCTTTAAGTTTGTGATGTCTAATAAATTCTTATTTATGTTGAAATCCCAAGTTTATAATTCAAATTTTATGAACTAGAAATTCGCAAGGAAAACTGTACATGGCAAAATTGCCGGATCACCTTTGACACATGCATTCAAGATAACTCATACTTATGAAAGGGGAATCCAATCATCCAATATATTGTATAAATGTAGAGGCTCGGAATCCGCTTTATTTATTTATTTATTTTTATCAATAGTTAGGTGGGGTTCTAACAGAGTAGGGAGAAATGGTGGATGAGCTTCGAACCCCAGTGAGAAGGGTCACATGAGTGCTTAATTTTCACTATAACACTAGCCCTCATTGTCTAGCTGTTCTTTTTGAAATACCATATTATGAACTCAAATAAAAATCTGTAACGTAAATCCAACAACTTTATATGCGAAACTTGACAAAACAAAATTAGAAATCTATTATTGCCTAAATTCAAAGACTTTTTTGGCTTAAATGTTCTAAAAAAAAAACGAAGAAAATGTCGACAAAATAAACACAAAATTTTCGTATGTAAAGAAAAATTAGCACCTAATTGAAATAACCATACACATAAACTTGGGAGACTCAAATTTAGAGAAATCTCGTTCCAGAAAATCTTTCTTTAGAGAGAAATTATCCCTCCGTGCCTTCATATGGGTCCCTACCATTGGGTTGGACATGTCCACGCGTCTAAGGGTGGATCAGGCCTCGAATCCAATCCACAAAACTAAAAATCTTGTGGTCTCCACGACCATCACAGAATTTACATCGACTACAGTCGGATCAAATTTACCGATTTGCCTTTCATTGGAAAGTTCAAACCCTTTAATGAAATTTAACAATATATGTTTGCTGGGTTCTAAAATATCCTAGTTGCTAGTCGGGCAATAGGTTGGAGTCTAGTGCTTATGTGGCTAGGAGATTAGGTAAATTTATGTAAATCTATTAAATATCATATAAATAAGTGGTTGTTTTATACTTAAAAGAATAAATAATTTTATTAGTATACGTGCAACCAGTGTTCTAAAAATTGGCCTAGGCAACACCTAGGCGTTGGACGGTGACCAACCACCGGGATTAATGCACAAGCGGGAGCAAAATCAGGACAGGGATTAGGCGGGCACTGAGGCGGCCCTTGGGTGGCCTAGGCAGGCAACTGAGTGACCTAGGTGGTCTGGGAATTTCAATTTTTTCTGTTTTCGAACTTGAGAAAGGATGAATGTAGATCAGCTATGTTTTGGTTTTTCTGTCATAAGCTTATGCTCTGCGTTCTTACGAAGAGGAAGAAGATGAGAGAAAATTAGTTTCTCTCTCTTCCTTCCACACCCACGTGACTACTCTCAAACTATTTATTTATTTGTTTGTCCACTCAAGTTTGGACAGCTAGCATAAGTTGCTTGACAGCTGTCTGTCCATAGCATCAAGTGCTATTGATTTTTTTTTTCATTCAAAAAACATAGATTGTCAGGTTGATTTTGCCCATCTTTATGCGTCCCAATGTTCCAATTTTCTTTTCATACCCACATATTTGACACTTTCATTTCTTTTTAAATTCAAAATAAATTAATATGATCTCTAAAAGATATTTTATAAATTAATACATACTTGTGATTATTTGAACTTCCATTTCATACCACGAAATTCACTAAGATTGACACACCCCGACCAAAATCAAGGCGTGTTGGCCGTCAACTCTCTGGCCAGATGTGTGCCGACAAGGACGTTGGGCCCCTAAGGGGGTGGATTGTTAGATCCCACATCGCCCAGGGGAGTGGATCATGTAAGCCTTATATGTATATTCCCGTCTCTACCTAGCACAAGGCCTTTTAGGAGCTCACTGGCTTCGGAGTTAATCGGAACTCCGAAGTTAAGCGAGTTCGCACGAGAGCAATCCCAAGATGGGTGACCTACTGGGAAGTTCTCATGTAAGTTCCCATAAACAAAACCGTGAAGGTGTGGTAGGGGCCCAAAGTGGGCAATGTCATGCTACAGTGGAGTCGAGCTCGGGATGTGGTGGGGGTCCAAGCCGGGATGTGACAAAGATACTAAAGATATATATTAAATTTACTTAAATATGTTTAGGGCCCCGCATAGCCATCTAGGCGCTATATTCCAACCCGTCGCCGGACTAGCGCCTAACGTTTTTTAGAACCTTCCATGCAACATATAGATTATAAAGTATTAGAACATAATGAGAACATGAGAAACAAACATATAATGTGTGTTCATCTAATTATTATAACATCTCTTACAATTTATTTGAAAAAAATAAAATGCACATTGAAAGTTATCTATTTTCTGTCTAAGTGAGAGTCACCACCTAAGTGGGTATGGACGATCTAATCGGGCGCCTAGGCGGTCTAGGCGAGCTCCTAAGCAAGTCTAGACACCCTTTCTTAATTTTCAAACACTTAGAAATTAATCGAGGCAGTGGCAAGCAGCCTAGCGCCTAGCACCTAGAGCCTAGATGAAGATTTTTAGAATAATATATATTTGTAATGAGTTTAATACTTAGATATAGCAATGGCACAGCGTAATTTGGTGTAGACCAAAAAATAAAAAACTCTCAAAATATAACTCATCATTTAAGCCTAAGCCCAGAGAAGTTTTCATTAAGTCTTCTATTCCACTCATCCTCACATGTAAGAGAGTTTTTTTCCTCAACCTCACCTCCATTCTCTCTAACCAAAGAGAAGAGAAAAACACTTATAGCTACCAATTCTTTTTCTAGAGCAAGTCTATACTAGTTACTCACTCTTACTCATTCTCCATCACTTTTCATAATCTAGAAGGTGTCAGTTCTTAGAGGCACCAAATCTTCGGTGCTTAGGAGATTTCAAGTTTCTAAATCCACTCGAGTCCAAAAGCTAAGGAGATGAAGCATGCAAGGAAGAAGGCCCTCCACTAGGGTAATCGACCTTGATGAAGATCAAGATAGTGCTACAAGAGGTAAAACAGTGTGTTAATGCATAAATGCATGTGATATATTATCAAATGGGGGTATGATATCCATACACTCCATTTTACTTCTCACACAACTCTTATTAATTTTTGTCCTTTGATCTTCTTCAATTCATTCGATCTGACCGTCGAAAATTAAGAGTGTGAGAAGTAAAGAGAGGTGTGTGATTAGCACACACTTATCAAATATACAAGTTCTAAAGATCCATTGTTTCGGGTTTTGGAATTGCACGCAACATTTCCGCCATTTATTTTTCGTTTTAATCCATGCATGTTCTTGGTCCAAGAAAGCCGCCACTTGGCCCTAAAAATCTAATAAAATAAAAACTAAACAAATAAAAACTAATTACAAACAATTATCAAATAAGTGCTACCGTTTAATATAAGTCGCTCTCAAAATAACCATTTGCACACTAGTAACGCCAACAGTTCTCCGTGTATTTGATGTATGCAATCTCGTAAAGGCCGTTCTTGTCAAACTATATTTACAGGAAGGTGTCTTAAAGTTATGTTATAACCCCTGCTTTTGTTGTGGGATGCATCATGGTATGCTATTTGTTTCCTCTCTGATGAGTTTTGAGTTGAGTTTTAATGTGGCTGCACACTTGCATTAGACAAATCGAAAAACGGATATAATTACTACAGTTAACAGAGTTTCACAAGTAAAATTCATAACACTAACGTGCTACAGGTGCACTTCGATTTCTTCTATTATGACTAATAAGAAACGTTTACAAGTTCCTATGAAGAAAATTCACCTAACCCAAAAGTGCGCAAACAGAATTGTTCAGGATCTACCAAATCCGTTGACGATGTTGCTGCTGATCTGAGCATGTAATATGAATCTGAGTACTAGTCTTTGCTTTGTACCAATCATTAAAATCTTGGAGCTGCAACAAAACAAAATTTTTTATGTTACCTCAAGTAAACTGGTTCCATTTCCAAAAAAGGCCATAAGATTCACATTAGATTTTTTTCTAAAAACACCTCAGTGTCAACATTAATAAATAAAAACACAAGCCCGTAGCCACTTAGTACTACAGCCTAGTGGTATTCCTCTTCACTTATAAGTGAGAGGTCTTAGGTTCGATTCTCGTCAAAGGTGAATTTGAACCACAATATTGTTAGCCCATTGTGAGGCTAAGCCCAGCCCCTCGCCCTTAGTATAGATAATTCATTTGTTCAAAAAGAAATAAAACAAGCCCGTAAACTTTCCAAACAACTCAACCTGGTTAAAAACCTTGAAATAAAACAGCATTTGGCAATTAACAGTACTTATGTGAGTTTTTTGGTATCTAAGCCTACCTCCACCTATGGTTGCTTCTGGCAACCTCTCAATTGAATACTTGTGTTGAGTGATGTACATGATTGGCACACCAGGGACCTGCACTTAAACAAGCAACGTTATGGAGTTGTTCCATTAAAGCCAGAGTGTCGCTTAAAATGGTTCTAAATTGCTATTCCACCTTTCTGATTCTTCGCTTTAAATCACGATCGCATGTAGCAACAATGTAGCATTTGTGCTGTACCCAACAAGAAGGTCAGTCGATCTTAGTCATAAGAATGCATCAGAAAATTTTGATAAGCTGCAACTATAATTGCCAGAAGACCACAATCTGCTTAGTAAATTTTACCAAAACGTTAACAGAAAGAAAGCATGGACAAAAAACATAGTCTTTAGACAACTGCTTCAGAAGAGAAAATATATTTAACGTTCGGAATCCATCTAACTTTCAATATATCGTTTTACAAACCAAGAAAAGAAGGAACTGATTTGATACAAAAAATTTCATTGGTTTCCCATTTCTAGGTTGTTCATCGTCAACATTTCACTAATTTATTCTTGATGAGATTTCCATCTCAAGTCTAAACACTTGTGCAGTCTCTTGCTTAAGTTACAATGGATAAAACTTGTGATAGCCAGATACCCTGTAGCAAGCTATTATTATACAAATTTTACACCCCTACAGTTGCAAAACATCTGCCATTATAGTATAGGCGATACCTACCATAGTCCAATGCCTTCTCAGCAGGATGGATGCAATTTGTGGCCTTTCACAACCTCAAAGTTTCCTTTCTTAATAAGAAC